AAAACATATTCTTTTAGCTCACAAAAGTTTCTCATTATCCACCTTCTGAAGTCTAATTCCGTCATTTTGTCACAGTCATTCTCCATCCAGCTTTGTTCCCTTGCTGGTGAGGAGTTTTGGTCCTTTCTAGGAGGCGTGGTGTTCTGGTTTTGGGTGTTTTCCTCCTTTTTGCGCTGGTTTCTTCTCATCTTTGTGGATTTATCCACCTGTCATCTGTGTAGCTGCTGACTTTTCGATTGAGTATCTGAGTGGACACCCAGATTGTTGATGATGAAGTATTTCTGTTACTTGGTTTTCCTTCTACCAGTCTAGCCCCTTCACTGTACCATTGCTGAGGTCCACTCCAGGCCCTTCTTGTCTGGGGTGCACCTATAGCAGCTGCGGAACAGCGAGGGATGCTACCAGTTTCTTTTTCTGCTATCTTTGTCCCAGAATGATGCCTGCCAAATGTCAGTCTTTTGGATATAGAGGGGTCAGGGAGCTGCTTGAGGAGACAGTCTGTACTTTGTAGGAGTTCAAGTACTGAGCTGTGAGCTCTGTTGTTCATTCAGGGCTGTTAGGCTGCTATGTTTAATTCTGCTGCAACATAACTCATAAAAAAACCCTTTTTTTCTCAGATGCTCTGTCTGGGGGGGGTTGGGGCTTTCCTTGTGAGTGTCTGCCTCGCCTGCCCATCTAGGAGGCAGTCTAGTCACTATTTGCCTGCCGAGGCTCCGCCCTGCTGGTGTGAGGTTCGCCCTGTTGCTGCAGGCTCTGCCCTTCTGCTGTGGTCTCTGCCCTGTTGCCACAGGCTACGCCCTGCGGCAAAGTCTCTGTTGTACCGAGTTGCCTTGGCAACGGCAGGCTGCGTCAGCAATGGCCGTGTACCTCAGTAGGGGCTGATTGTCTCGGTAATGGCGGACGCCCCTTCCCCACGGAGCTGTGCTTTAAGAAAACCTCCTCACCAGGAGCATTTGGAATCGCCGTTTTGTTTGTCGCACTGCGCTACCCCAAACGCTGTGTCCCTGGGATTTCCTGGGTTGGCTCACTGCCCAAGTCCCGTTCAGTCTCAAGTTCAGCCCTCTCAGGTCTCAGTTTGCCGTTTCAACAGGGCACCCGTAACAGTGCGCTTTTGTACTCCAATGGGCCGGAGCCGCACTGGCTGCCGGCTACACCAGCCAAGACCTCTGCCTGGCATCCCGTGTCTCTTTTATACCTGGGAATTTCCCCTTTCTGTGGGAAACTAAGATCCATCTGGAAATGCGTCCCCGACTCACCCTCTCCACGCATCCAGCGAGAGCTTCAATCCTAGGTTGTTCTCACAGCACCATCTTCAGTCCTCCCTCTGTTTTTTTTTTAATGTGTTGATGTCTAGTTCTTGTTCTAGATTATTGTGCACATTTTTGTTATTCTATTATATTTTTCTCAATGGAAAATAAGATCCATACAGTATACACTGTTTTATAATTCTTTTCATATGCTTGCAATACGTTGGGGTCATTTCTCTAAAAGTAGAGCGTCATTGGTAGAGGCTAGAATACTGATACACAAAACATTGATTTCCAAGCTTTTGTGGTTATAATCATTGGTCTGTTAAATATCCTGAATAGTTAAACCTTGTACACTTCTGCATATAAATTTTCCCTCCTCCCTTTCTTTCTCCCAACATTCATCCAGTAGATGGGAGGAAGTCATCAACAAATGGTTGCTGTCTTAGCTTGGGCTACTATAATAAAATACCACAGACTAGGTGATTTTAACCACAGACACTTATTTCTCTCAGTTTGGAAGCCAAGAAAATCTAAGATCAAGGAGTTGGCAGATTTGGGCCTCTTCTTGGCTTGCAGATGGCCACCTTCTCACTAAGTCCTCATGTGATGAAATAGAGAGAGAGAAAGAAAGAGAGAGGGGGCTCTCATCCATCTCTCTTCCTCATTTACCTTGTTTAAAACAGGGTCAGTGAACCAAGAATTGGCTATGTATTTGTTATGTTTATGTTAATTATAGCGATTAACTTTGGCAGTGAGAGAAGCACAAATTATTATATGCTAATACAAAACTAGAGATGGAGAAGGGAGAGTAGATAGATAAAAGGGCTATCGTGGAGTTTAGAGAGAAATTTTTTAAAATAAATATATGATTTAATTCTTCACCCATGTCCCAAAGCCCGAGAGACAATGCTTAAGTATCAAACAAAAGGTAAGAAATAAAAAGCATGACTATAGTTATTGGAAAAAGTGACCGTTATTTAGTTCTTGTTCCTTTACATTAAGTTTTGATATAAGGATTTAAATGGATTAATGAATAAATAAATAAGCAAATAAACCAGGCTCTTCCCTGAATAAAGATAATGGGATTAAAATAATTATTTTCTCTGTCATAAAATAATTTTGACCTCTAAGAAAAAATCATAATAGGGATCTGAGTACTCTCCAGATATAGATTACAAATCTAGCGGGAATGTCGACAAAAATTAACACTGATGAACTAAGAGAAGATGAATTAAAGTTTTACCCCAGATAAAAGTTTCATGGACACTGAAAAAGAGGTAGTAAGAAATAAATAACATAAAAATCAAAATTATAATACATAAATATAAAAGCAATTTGAATCAACACTTTAGCACTTGAAGAACCGAAAAGAATCTTTTAAAAGTGTGACAGTAAAGAGGAATGAGGCAGGAGGAAGATAATGTAAATTCCACAAAAGTAGAAATTTTTGTCTTTGTTCATTGCTGAATCTCCAGTGCCCTGAAAAATAGTAGGTAGTGAACAGAAGTGATAAAATGAGTGAATGAATAGGAGAAGAGAGCTGACACTGATATAACAATAGTGGGGGGGAAAAGAGAGTATAGAAATAAAACATAAAAATATTTTTATAAAAATACAAGTAGAAACAGAATTGTGATGGAGTGAAGAGAATTTGGGAAGTGATCAACAGAGAAATGAGAGGCTAAAAATAATAAAAGATAAAAAGATACACAGAAGTATTACGGAAGAAAGAAAGAGGGAAGAGAGCAAAGTAGATGATATAAAATATTAAAATTATCAAAAAAGATAGAAATAATATGGACTGGCAAAAAGAGATTCTTTAGATGTTATGATAAAATATAAAGTAAAAGACAAGAGAAACCAGTTACACTGGTTACTCTTACAATACTAGTTAACAGCAGAGCTCAGATTTGAACATAGGCAATCTGATACCAGAATCTCTGTTTTTAACCACTATACGATTAATACTATGCAGACACATAGCTCTGTTTCTAAATTTTAAAAGGAGGAAAATAAAAATAGGCTTTTAAGAAGCTATGAAAAGTTTATAATTTATTTTTCATTTCTCGTTTGTTTTATTCGTTTGTTAATAATATGCCTCAATTCTAAAATAGCTCCACAAGGGCTGGCATCTTTGCTTGCTTTTATCCACTGATATATCCTAAGCATCTATGTGCCTGGAACATAGCAGGTGTTCAAAAATATTTCTTAAATAAATTCTTGGTAGTCATTACTTTTTTACCATTAACTATGAGACAAAGACTTTGTACAGCAAACAAAAAATTAAACATCTAGTCATTTTACTCCTAAATACTTTCAAATATCCAATACTTTGGCAATGCACAAACACAGTCAAACCATAAAAAATAACTACAGAATATGAGTATTTGGTTGGGAAATTCAGACAATGTGAAAAGATTTACAGATAAACCTATACATGAAAAAATGATATAAATGAATATGTTGTTTTATCAAATGCTATCTGATAAAAATTGATGTCTATAAATATAGACTTTGAATACAACTATAAATATGTCCTTTGCATACAAAAATGATACTACTGACATCCTATTAATAAGACATTCTTTGATTTTATTTTATTCTATATTTAGTGAAGAGCTGGCATAAACCTATTATCTTGATTTGATTTGTTTCATTCTCAATTTAAACTAAAAGATTATGTATTGACTACTTCAAATAATTAGAAATTTTTATTTGAAATCATAGATTCTCAAACATGTATAATAATACAGTCTCCATTGTATGCTGAATTTATCTTAATTTTAACTTAAAAATTAAAACATTAAAAAGTCCTGAAACATTGTCATTAGGCTCCAGCACATTTCCATCATTTTTTAAATCAAAATAGTTACAAAAAGTTTGTCCTAAAAGTATTCAACATATTTAACTACAGCATGTGACTGAAGTAAACTTTTATAACTAAGAATGTTTTCATGTAAGGGAACGCAATCCTGTCCCAAAACATTGAACGGAAAAACAAATATAAAAACAGAAAATAGATATTTTTAAAATACGTATTTCTGAAATTGCATTGTTAGCAGTTTAATCATAGCAAATGCTATTTATATTTAAGCATAAATATAAATTATTTATATTCTAAACCACTCAAAATACAAACATACCTAATTAAAAAGCTACCTTTTCTCTGTTTTCTATACCAACATCTTTATTCTGGCCCTTACTTGACATTCCTGAATGCAAAACAAATTCGACCTTCACACTTACAGGTGCATGAATCCAATGGGAAGACTTATCAAGTCCAATAACTCCAGGCAAAGTTCACAATAACACATAATGATGGAAATTGGAACTTTCAACATGAAAATGCATTTTTAATTTTCCCCTCTGATTCAATAATCAAGGAATATTGATGTAAAACCTCTAAAAATTACCTGTCTCAGGTGTGGTACATAAATCAATGAGGTAAGTAAACAAAATTGTTGGATATTCTTTAAGGTGTGAATACATAAGAAAAAAATCTTACAGCAATAATAGTATATAGAAATGTCTGTATAGGACTAGAGTTTTTAAATGTGAAAAAGAATAGAATATTGACAAGAGGGAAAGACTACAATATAGATCCTACTGAAAAAGTATTTATGCACACTTTCCACATTGAAACGTATTTTTCAAATTTCTAGTCTTAAAGTCTGTTCTTAGCCTTCTACATTTCCATAACTGATGTTTTAAAATTATGTATTGGCATATAAAATTAGATGCTCTACTCACCCAATTTTGAAACTTTAAGAATTCTTCAATACTTTTCGGAGGTTCTTGCATTTCCTAATAAAGTAAAATCAATACTGTTCATTGGCACAAATTCAGACTGTTTATAATATTTACAAATAATTTACTTAATATGTTACTCTATTTATCATTTTCAAAGCAGTAAGATATCACAAAATGCTCACTTTGTACCATCTCTCCACTTTGAAAAGGGACATAAATGTTTACATTCTCAGCCTCCAAACCAAATTTTGTAATAGGCTTCCCTCTTATACACTACCCATAGTGAAAAACTCCACATGAATCTTGCTTAAGGCCCTCATTTCAGATTCCTAAAGACTTCCAAGATATTTTGGGGTATCATGGATAGTCTATAATAAATTCAGAGCCAAAAATATAGTATGTTCTTGCTGATTAAGTATTTTTAAAAGCTAATCAGTTACACAGTGAAAATAAATTTAAATATTTGGATGTTTCAGTCTAACAGTTACAAATCACATTTTTTAGTAGTTTCTTTATGATTTCAAAATGTGTTCAACATCAGACAAATTAATTCTAATCAAGACCACACTTTTCTTCTTTTTGCCTTAGAGACTTTGCATACATTCTTTCTTCTGTCTAGAAGTCTCCCTTTCCCAAACTCTCTTCTTCCAATCCCTTCTTGGCCTGTTTAACTCTTACTTCAGATAACACTTTGTCCAGCACAAGCCTTTCTTATCCCCCAAAGTTTTCTCCATGGTGGCATACAGCAGATTATCTCTGTGAGGACAGAAACTATGGTACAATCATGGCTGAATTTTCTAAATTTCACACAGTGGCTGGTTCATAGTCAATGCATAATAAGTACTTGCATGTGCATAAATTAAAGCATAAATGTGTAGATGAAGGACAGTAATGCATAGGTACTTGAAAAATAATAAAAATCCTTCTAGGGAATGAAAATCCAGTGAGAAGAAGGCAAAAGTAAGAGCAATTCAGAAGTTGAATACCCTAATATCCATGGTGATATCACTGGAAAGATTGTATTGCATTTTTATTTATTAAAACACATATTTCTCATCAATATATAAAATGGTCAAGATTACAGAACAACAGGTCATGCTTTATAAAAAAATTCTATAAAAATAACAACATATTTGAGTTGGGAGGATATTTCATTCATCTAAATATATGATCAATGTAAGGAAATATATAACCGATAATGCAAGAAGAAGATAGAGTGCATGTAACAACCATTATAGAAAACGAGTATTTAGTGAGAGTTAAAAATTTAAACAACTGAACTCATGGAGATAGAGATAGAATGCTGGTTGCCAGATGGTGGGTAGGGTAGTGGGAACTAAAGGGAAAGTGTGTATGGTCAATGAGTACAAAAATATAGTTAGGGTCAGACATAGTGGCTCATGTCTGTAATACCAGCACACTTTGGAAGGCCAAGACAGGAGAACTGCTTGAGCCCAGGAGTTTGAGACCAGCTTGAGCAACATAGTAAGAGACCATCTCTATAAAAAAGAAAAAAAAAAAAAAACAAAAAAATGGTAAAAACAAACAAAAAAACAAAAAACCAGAGTGGCTAGCCAGGGTGGCTCATGCCAGTAAGCCTAGCACTTTGGGAGGCCAAGGTAGGTGGATCACTTGAGGTCAATGGTTGGAGAGATCCCCAAACCCCTGTCTCTACTAAAAATACAAAAAAATTAGGCAGGTGTCCCAGCTACTCAGGAGGCTGAGGTGGGAGAATCGCTTGAACCCTGGAGGCAGAGGTTACAGTGAGCCAAGATTGTGCCACTGCACTCCAGCCTGGGCGACAGAGTGAGACTCTCTCTAAAAAAACAAATAAATAAAAAGGTTGAGCTAGATAGAATGAATAAGATCTAATATTTGATAGAACAACAGGCTAACTATAATCAACATTTTAAAATAAATAAAAGAGTATAATTGGAATGTCTGCAACACAAAGAAATGATAAATGCTTGAAATGATGGATACCCTACTTACCTCTGATATAATTATTATACTTTGTATGTCTGTATAAAAAATTAACTTATGTATGTCACAAATATGTATACTTATGATGTACCCTTAAACATTAAAAAATAAAATTAAAAAAAGGAAAACAAATTGTTTAGAAAGAAGCAAAGACACATAGGGATGTGAAGAAAATGTTATGGGAAACAGGAACTCCACAGCTAGTCAGATTGAAAAGAATGAGAGATATGAAAGATGGTGTGCATAAAAGCCTTACAGATAGAAAAATTCTCATGATATAATACCTTCAGGGATAGTGAGTACAGCAATTTGGCTAGAAGGAACTTGCAATACATTAAAAAATATACAGAATTAAACTTAATGAAAACAATTTAAGTATAGACTTTTTTTTTGTAATGGCTGTCAAATCATTCCTAGTACAAAGAACCAAAAATAATATGCATATTTAAATTAAAGGGAATTAGAAAAAAGGAATTAAGAAAGTTAAATTTGCATAGGAAAGTCCCAATTAATTTCAAAATTCTGTGTCTCTCTTGGAATTTTAAAGTTTTGGAATTTAAAATTAAAAGAAGGAATTTAAAGTTAAAAGAATTGGAATTTAAAAGAATCTTGGAATTTAAAGTTAAAAGAAGGTAAGGTATAAATTAAATAGATTTCTATTTTTGGTAGGATGTAGAAGGATATAAAACACCTCACTCTTAAAACCTGAGAAAGTTACATTTGTCTTTTCTAAGTTCCTTTCTCAGAAAATTAACCATCAGGCCTCCCAGATAGTGTTAAGGAACTGAAATGTACCAAATCAGTGTATCTTGAAAATAAGCCTCTAGATTCCTTACCATCACCTATCATGACTGCCTAACTGACGACCTGTTTCCTGTTTACAACCGTCTCCTCACCACCCTCCCTAATTCCTGTTTTCCCACACATGGTTACATGTCTTCCCTGCTATATGAAATCCTAATTTTAGTCAGTCAGGGAGATGGATTTGAGACTGATCTCCCATCTCCTAGGCTGCAGCACCCAATTAAAGCTTTCTTCCTTGGCAATATACTCATCTCAGTGATTGGCTATCTCTGCAGTGAACAACAAGACCTAGACCAAACCCTTGGTATTTCAGTAACAAAGCCATCTCTACCTGTGAGCCTTGATTACCTGAAATTCCAAGAGAAATATGACATTTATAAGTGAACATAAAGCTGTGGCAGCTTCCTTACCCTGGGGCCAGCTCTGCAGATCTTTTGACACTTTTGCTGGCCTGCCATGGTACAGTAAGTTTGCAGAAATGAAGAGAAATCAGCTGGGCCTTAGGCATCAATGTGAGTTGGGGAACCAAACTGGAGTATGAAAGACACCAAAATGCAAAAATAAATGACTCAGCCAAACAATTCCTTTCCCCTCAACCCCAAACCTCACTTCTGACTTTCACCAAGTGATATTCAATTGGCTCTGTGTCTCCATTCAAATCTCATGTTGACCAAAAAAAAAAAAAAAAATTGCATACTGGCTAAACCAAAAAATAAATAAATAAATCTCATGTTGAACTATAATCCCCAGTGTTGGAGGTGTGGCCTGGTAGGAGGTGGTTGGATGCTTTCTAATGGTTTTGCAGCATTCCCCTAGTGCTGCTTTGTAATAGACTTCTGACGAGATCTGATTGTTTAAAACTGTATACCATCTTGCCCTTCACTCTTTTCCTCCTGCTCCAGGGATGGAGGATGTGTCTGCTTCCTCTTCACCTTCTGCCATGATTGTCAGTTTCCTGAGACCTCCCCAGCCATGCTTCCTGTACAGCCTGTGGAACTGTGAGTCAATTAAACAGCTTTTCCTTATACATTACCCAGTCTCAGGTAGTTCTTTATAGCAATGTGAGAACAGACAAATACACCAAGAAAGCAGCAGTGGAGATGGGGCTGGAAAATATATTTTCTGCTCATGAACTTGGAGGTTCTACTATGTCATATGACAAAGGGCATGCATACAACAAGAAATGGACCCAGGAAGGCTAGTAATATAAGCTACTATAACGTTTATAAAAAAGATTGGGCTGGGAGTGGTGGCTTACACCTGTATTCCAAGCACTTCAGAAGGCTGAGGCAGGTGGATCATTTGAGGTCAGGAGTATGAGACCAGCCTGGCCAACAAGGCGAAACCCCATTTCTAATAAAAATACAAAAATTATCCAGGCATGGTAACACACACCTGTAATCCCAGCTACTCGGGAGGCTTAGGAGAGAGAATCATTTGAGCCTGGGAGGTGGAAGTTGTGGTGAGCCAAGACTGTGCCACTGCACTCCAGGCTGGGCAACAGAGTGAGACCCTGTCTCAAAAAAAAAAAAAAATTTTGGCCTGAATTTGTCTCTCTTATAATGTGAAGATTTGAATAAGGCCATTATGGTCTCAAAAAGAATGAGTTGGGAAATGCCTCTGTTTTTTCTGTTATCTGAAAGAATTTAAAAATCTGAAAGATCAGTGCTATTTCTTCCTCTCTTCCTTAAATGTTTGGTAGACACTGCTAGTTATGTTCCCTGAACCTGAACCTGAAATTATGGGGGAGTTTTAAATTAAGGATACTGTTATAGACCTGATCATGTTCCCACCCCAAATTCATATATTGAAGTCCTAACACTTTTAACAATATGTGACTTTATTTGGAGACGGAACCTTTGAGGAGATAATTAAGGTTAAAAGAGGCTATAAGAGTGGGGCTCTAATCTGATTAGTGTCATTATAAGAATAGACAACAGAGATCTTGCTTGCTCATGTCCTCTTTCTCTCCATAGACACACAGATATTTTATCTGTAAAAATATCTAGAACTGTGAAATAATAAACTTTGTGTTGTTTTAAGTCACTTTGTTTGTTTGCTTTTTGTTACAATAGCAATAAGAAACTAATATGAGGAGAAAGAGTGATTTTTTTCTCAGTATTTTACAGAAGTGAAAAATGCCACACACTTAATTCATGCTTTGTCTGTATAAGAGAAGAGGCTTTGTAAGGACATGGTAAGAAGGCAGTAGTCTACAAGCCAGGAAGAGAGGATTCACTAGAAACTAATACTGATGGCAGCTTGGTCTTAGATTTTTGGCCTTCAGACCTGTGAGAAAATAAACTACTGTTGCTTAATTCATCCACTCTGTGGTATTCTATTATAGCATCCTAGGTAGACTGATACAGATATAATCTACCAAAATTAATATAGGATTATCCAGCTATTCTATTACTTCTTATATTAATTTTGGTAAATTTTTTTTAGAAAAATTAAAATGTCAAGTATTTTGATATAAATATTTATTCTTAGTATCTTCTTCTTATCTTTGCAATCTGTAGTGTCTGTGGTGATGTTTCATTTTTCATTTCTGAAATTTGTACTTGAGTTTTCTTTTTCTATCTTGATCAGTCTATCTAAAGGCTTATCAATTTTATTAATCTTTGCAAATAACCACTTTTGGCCTTGCTGCTTTTCTTTAGTGCATATTTGTTTTTAATTTTATTGATTAATTCTTATTTTTATTGGTCCTTTTTCTTCTTTAAATATTTGAGAAACTTCCAATGATAAACCTTGCTCTACTATGAAGCTGACTGCTTGACAATTCCTGTTCAGTCACTATGAGCTTTTCATCACCATTGTAATTCTTGTTTTTCAAAATAAATAGAAAGCTAAAGACTATTAGACATTTATGGAATAATTGTGAAATGAAAAATATAAAAACAAAAAAATAGAGACCCAAACAAATAAAATCTAGGTATATATAGACAATGTGGGGAACAGAAGGAAACTTCAAAAAAGTCTTTAAGATTCTTAGAGAGCTATAATAAGATAATGCATCCCTGAAACAAAAACTGCATGTTATAAATGAGTACAGAATAAGAAAAAATGCAAAGTACAAACATAATGATAAAAATTATTCAACAAAATTCTGGTGAAAAATAGTGGAGGAAATCTTTAGAAACCAGAATAAAAATGTTAAAGTAAACAAGAATCAGAGAATAAAAAACAATAATTTAGAGGATTATGCCAGGAAAATGACTTTCAATCTGTAAATTTAAATACAGACATGGCATGAATTAAGTGTGTGGCATGTTTCATATTTGCAACATACTAAAAAAAAATTTCCCCCATAATAGTTTCTGATTGCTACTGTAACAAACAGCAAACAAAGAGGCTTAAAAAAAAAACAAAAAACCCAAGTTTATTATTTCACAGGTCTAGAGGTCAGAAATCTGAAATGGGTCTGCAGGGCTATATTCCGTGTGTGTGTGTGTGTGTGTGTGTGTGTGTGTGTGTGGTGTGTGTGTGAGACAATTTTGTTTCTGTCACCCAGATTAGTAAATTTATTTGTGTAATAGAAAACCCCAAAATATCAATGGTTTAATACACGTTTTTTTCTTCCAAAAGATCTTTTTGTGAGAAAAGGGGCTTCTAGAAGCTATCCTTTGCTCAGAGCTCCTCCCTCTAACTTCAAAGCTAGCAGTGTAGAATCTTCTCCCCTCTCTGACATCTCGTCTCCCTCTTATAACGACTCTTTAATGATGTCCAGCCACCCAGACAATATTTAGGGTAATTTTCCCATCTCCTTAATCACATATGAAATTCCTTTTGCCATATAAGATAAAATATCAGTAGGTTCCGGAGATTAGGATATGTACATCTTTGGGGGCCATTATTCTATCTACCACACTCCCATTTACCTTTTTTCAGGAAGGTACTAGAGAACGTAGTTCATTTTTTGAAAAGAATTAAGTGAAGAAAAAAGAAACAAGTGATCTAATGCACAGGAGAGCAGTGATATATTGGATAAACCAGCAATCCTGAATAAACTAAATGTTGTAATGCTCTAGGAGGAATATCTGTAAGGAAAAAAAATCTACTAGATTAACTGATATATTTTACTGTGATGCTTTAGCAGTTTGCCAAAGTATTTCAGGACAGATTAATAATAAATACATTAAAAATGGGAGTTACTAAGAGAAAGGAAAGTAAACGATTGTATTAAAAGTTAATGTAATCTTAGTATACTATGTGGCTTAGGGTTGAATGACATTTACCTAGACAGTAGTGGTAACACTAAACGTTGATTTATTCAAATCCTATGATATCACTATATGGAGAGGTGAAGGGACAAGAGTGTATGAGGTAGAAAGGGAATGTTCACATACTTGGAGGTGGTGGTGTTACTAAAGACCTATGTCACTGTCTTCCATAGGAGAAAGTCAACGGGTAATGTCTGAAATTAGAAAAAGCAAGAAATTACAATGTAAGTATATTTAGACATAGGGAGGAACAGAAGAAATATTTAAAATACTTGAATTTTCCTTTGGTGAGAATTGAGAATAGAGTGGAAGGGTTGGGGACTACAGGGTTTTCCTTAACCTAGAACATGGCAAACTGTTAGTGCTCACCAATATGTGTATGTTTCTCTATATTTCCCAGACTCCCTTGCAGTTAAAGTGGTGGCCTTGGGACTAAATTCTGACCAATAGAATGTGGTCAAATTGATATATCATTTTCAGGGTTGACCTCTATAATTTCTTGGGTGATATTTGCCATTCTTTCTTGTCACATAAGCTATGGACCTCAGGTCCTAGAAGGCAGAAGAACCATTCAAAATAAAAACATTTGGCCTTGAATTTAATATTTCATCTGACTAGAAATAGCCACAATGGATCTTTTGTGAGAAAAAAAAACCATGTGAATTAAACCATTGATATTTTGGGGTTTTCTATAATAGAAGTAAATTCATTATGCTGGTTTTAAAACATGGACAAGAATTATTTGCTAATCCTTTTAGAAGAGGGATCTGTGTCTTCTTTCCTAAAATGGAACAGGACTTGTGACTCAATTGTAAGCAAAAGAAAGTGAGGGAAGTAGCACCGTGTTACTTTTTGAGGCAAGGTCAGAAAAGGACAGGCAATTTTTGCCTAGTTCATTGCAAAACTCCCTTTGGAGCTCTGAGTCAAAGGTAAGAAGTCTGATTACCTTGCTGCCATACTGTGAGGAAGCCCTAGCCATATGGAGAGTTATAGAAGCTCTGCTAGCATGCCTACCCACTCTAGTCTTCCTAATTGAATTACCAAAAAAAAGCAATGACTGTGACCTACTGACAATACCACCTGTGAGCATAATAAAATGTTTGTTTCAAGCCACCATATTTTGGAGTAATTTATTCCATGGCAACAGCAAACCAATGCTCTATCTAACAAGTAGTATCATTTGCTTTTTAATCTATACAATTTAAGTACTTTAATAAAACTTAAGAGTTAACTAAAAAGGAAAATGATTGTGAATTATTTATTCCTGACTTAGAGACTTTGCTCTTCTACATTCCTTACCAGAAAGTTCACCTTTCTCCCTAAAACACTGGCTTTCAAACTTTTATAGTTTGAAATACACTAAGAAGCCCTAGTGTACACATACATGCTGTATAATTGATATCAAGCCCTAGTACACACATACATGCTATCTAATTGAAATCTCCATAAAGCAGTACTTTACTAAGTAATATTAAATTTACTCACATGCACTGATATTTTCGATCTATACTGTTTATTTTTTTAAGTGCTTACAAATGGATCAAGACCCCACTAATGGGTCCCACATAATCCCCTTTACCATTGAAAAACACTGTCCTAAACCTAAATCATTCTTCGAGGCCTTACCCAAGCCTGAAAAAGAAGCCTTTCGTGACCACTCCATTCTGAGCTTTCTTGAAATTCCTATAATTTATGAAATTGCATTTTAATCTTGGTAGTAAGAATATCGCATTTTCTGTACTACCCATGCTTTACTTGTATTGTGAGCACTTCTAGGGCATTGTAATATCCTTTATCTACCACTTGATAAATTCAGAATACTCAATAAACATTGCTCAACATTTGATCGTTGTGTTTCAAAATCTTAGCTGTTAGAGTGCACTTCAATTTGGGCATTCTTTGGGAAGAGGCAGGATAAATGGTCTAGTAACTTATCAACATATCACACTTAACTTTAGACTGGAAAAGCATACAAAGTACTCTTAACTCTGTATCGGTGTTTCTGTGCAAACCAAATCATAAAGATACAAATGATTTTTCTAATAGTTTTCATTACCATACAGCGCACGAAATAATGATACTGATATAGCCACGAAAGCGTAATAGAACCAAGTTCTTATAACTAAAATATCTTCGAGATGGATAAAATGCAAACTTTTTTCTGGGAACAACATTTCTTCACAACTCACTGCAACTATGCCTTCACAGTATCTTTCGAGAACCGCGTCCCAATTATGTTGCCCCAGCAAGGATCAGGAGGAAACTGGTTGAAAGGCTGCGAGGCGTGAGCCAGGTCCCAGACGAACTTGGCCCTGCCCCCGCCGGAGCCTCTCGGGAGCTGTACGGCAAGGCCGCTGAGTGTGAGGGTGAGGCAGAACTTCCCGTTTAACCCCGCCCTGCTGTCGTTCCCGCTCTTGGCTTCAGCCGCGCGAACTGCGGCACGCCGGCCCCGGCCCTAGCAACAACACTAGTAACGGCCTGGTTCCTCCCTCTGGTGTTACCGGGAAAGCGCTCCGTCTGGTCCGTGCGCGATCACGGCCCGGCGCGCGCCCTGGGCTCGGGTGGAGTTGACGACGCGTGGAGCTGCTCGACTCGTGGGTGTGCAGGTCTGAGTACCACTCTGATTCCTGATGCAGGTCTCTGCGCGTGGAGCGTGGTCTGGCCCCAGAGTTGCGGCAGCGGGAAGTGGACATTCCTTGTCAGGACCCTAGCGGAGATCATGCTGGGTGTCGCCTGTGACAGGGATCCTCGGTCCCTGCGCGGGCTCTTGTTTTTTGTTAGGATGTTGCGGGCCCTTTGGGAAAAAGGTTTCCGAATTTTTCCTCAAAAAACAGTTATTTTTTCCTACCAATGATTTTCAGTGCATTCCGCGCCAACGAAAGTTTGTCCTGGCAAAGTCAGTTCCCTAGCAACCCCATTCTCTATTTTTTTTTTTTTTTTTTTTAGTATTTGGAGTGGTTTGTGGGGGTTATCACGAAAGGGGAAGAGTAGTACAGACGTAGAATTAGCGATGCCATGCACTGTATTTAAAATACTGAGGTTGTCGTTACGTAATAAGCAAAAGAGCCTGTTTCTTACGTCTAAATTATTTATTGGGAATGTAGGACAAATAAGGAAGTATATTAACATTTTCAGGCGCCAGGACCACAAAGTTGGATGGTAAAATCAGTACCTCAGATCGCAACATTTAAGGACTAACCCAATGCACCATGAAAATGAAGGCAAGACCGTCTGCTACCATATGGTGGGTGGTGTGGGAGCGACCATTAATCCTATATTAAAAAAGGGTACTACCTTGAATTGTGAAAAATGAATGTTGGACCTGGAGGTCCTATGTGACCAGGTTCTTAAAAATACTCTAGCAAGAAAATCTGAAGTGGTTTTTATCTAGTACTGAATTGGTCCACAATATAGGATAGGGGAGTATATACATATAATGCTCCATTGGGAAGGAGGTGAGTCAGTTTACAATAATGAAAGAGGTAGAAGCTTTTTCTGTTATTATTTTGGAAAAAAAAGAAATTGCCAGCGTGCCACCTGTGCTAGGCTGCAGATGGCCCATAAAGGTAGTTTGTCAGATACTTCAGTAGCAAGATGCTTACTGGATGTGTTTTGCAGAATGGTTTTAATTTGGTTAACAAGGGTTAATCGAATTCCTCCTGTTGCATAAGAATCATGAAAAGGTGAGATCAGGAAAGGATCTTCTCTTACAGAGTTGAATGCTAGAGGGGCCAGCTTCACGAAAGTACCTCTACAATAAGTGCATTTTTCTATGTCAAATATGTGTAATCAATAATAAGTACTCAAAGATAAAGAGCTTTAAGACCTTGCCATGGCCCATCTATGAGTTAATAAGAAACTGAATTAGAGTCCTGACTTTGAGAGTGAAGATAGAGAATTATGTACAAGGTAGAATTGATGCAAACTTGGTGAGCATAATTACTTTGGGGTGGAAATTGGGTAGAAGGAGGAATAAAAAATTAACGTATTTTCAGCCTTAAGTTCCAGGAAGATGGACACACCGTCAAGGTGTTAAAATTGTTAGTTCCATAGGAATAGTCTTTATGTTTTCTAAGTCTTTTTAGCTCCTATGACTCAAATTGTATTTTCTTGCACATATTTGATGTTAACAGGTATGTTTTAAAGATTTTAAATAGCCACATTTGTAACATGATTTACTCACAGTTGAGGCAGGCTGTTAGCTAGGCAGGCTGTTAGCTAGATGTCCTGATCATATAGTTTCAGAGATCTTTGGAGGGAGCTGCCCATGATTTACAATTGCTAGCCTCTTCTATGTGGTCACCTCAGCCATAAGTGAGAGGATGTAGGGTGAACTAGAAGATGGAGCCATTAACATTTCTCTTTTAGTGTCTTACAGGTATTTGTGGTGTTTGATTTTTGTAGAGGAAGGTTATTTATATAAGGCTTCACTAATATCCATTTAGTTATTTGGATAGGAGGTCCGTGAACTACAAAATGGTATTTCTGAGGCATCTGTAAGACGAATGAACTTTGAGGGCCCTAGAATAACTCCAAAAGCTCACCAGTAGTTTTCTGCTAAATGTCAAGCAACCACAGTAACTGTCATGACATCACAGGAACTGCATTTTTCTGTCCCACTATGTCTAGGTTTTTGAATGACACATGCAGTTCCACTAAATAGCTACTGGAATACCCAGGGAAATAAGTCAGGTTGAGTTAGTCCAATCAACTTTCTTTTTTTTAGGATGAAACCCATCATCTGAGTAACTCAGGATTATGAAATCCTCAAAATGTTTCTCTGTAAGAACCACAAGCAACACCAGAACAAACTCAAAGAGGGTTTAGGTGAAACTTAGCTTTGTATGTGCAGCAAAGAGATGCCAAGAGAGCATTTGCTTTTCTTTTTTTTTTTTTTTAAATTTTTTATTGGATTATAGGTTTTGGGGTACATGAGCAGAGCATGCAAGACAGTTGCGTAGGCACACACATGGCAGTGTGCTTTGCTTTTCTTCTCCCCTTCACCCACATTTGGCATTTCTCCCCAGGCTATCCCTCCCCACCTCCCCCTCCCACTGGCCCTCCCCTTTTCCCCCCAATAGACCCCAGTGTTTAGTACTCCCCTTTCTGTGTCCATGTGTTCTCATTTTTCATCACCCACCTATGAGTGAGAATATGCGGTGTTTCATTTTCTGTTCTTGTGTCAGTTTGCTGAGGATGATGTTCTCCAGATTCATCCATGTGATTTCTGAGGACTATTAGGATCTCTTCCCCAACTTTCTTTCTCTTCTGTTTTAGAGATAGGATCTCACTTTGTTGTCCAGGCTGTTCTTTAACTCCTGTGCTCAAGTGATCCTCCCACCTTGATGTCCCAAATGCTTATAGGCATGGGCCACCATGCCTGCCCCTTCCCAAACTTGGAACTTCTTTACCTCAGTTATAGTTAGACTCTAGGAAAGTTCCAAACCTCCTGAAATTGTGTGCAAAATATTGTGTCTGTATATGCATTTTCTAGGGATGAGGTTTAAGATTTTAATGTGATTCCTAAAAGGATCTGAGACTCAAGAAAAGATGGCATCTTAATTTATTGCACTTCTAGTCATTGAGGGCATGTTCACAAAGATTGAAGCCATTTTTAGGCAGGTGATTTAGAGTCGCGGTCAGAAGTAGGTAAGATTTTCTATTTGTGAGGCAGGAAGAAGGGATTGGACCATTGTTCTTAAATACTGCTTTCTTACCCAAAATGTAAATCTGTGCCTAATCAGTACACAGCAAAAATATTTGCTATATTTTGGTTTTCCCCTTTGGGTACATTTGGCAAATACCTTTTTCTACTATAACTGGTATCTTTGCATCTTTTTATTTGGGTCTCAAGTTCACTGGGACTTGCAATCTTTTAAAAAAAATTCATGTGATGAGTAATTAAATTAGGGGCATTAACTTCTTGTCAACAAATTATGTTGTACTTTGTGTTTCTCTGGACTTTTTGTTCACTTTGTATTTGGGAGACCACAAAGTGTTTCCTATTGAAGTCACAGCATTTCTCTTGTCACTGTTACTACTGAAAGCGGCTGGAGCTTCATAGTTAAACCACAATGCCAGAAGGCTTTATAATAAGAGAATTATTTTACAGCTGTGGAATGCATATCGAATCAATAGGGCCCCAGTGTTGTTTCTCCTTGAAAGATATCTTCCTTACAGGATATACAGATAACAATTTTGGCAGCCATCACCCTTCTTTGAAGAAAATATTAAGTGGGAAAGTTATTTTACTGTTCTTCGCTAGTACTAAAGAATCTGAATGATGTTTGTTTTTAAAAAGCATAAATTCTTAGAGTAAGTGGACATTAATATTACTCTATACATTTTTTAAATTTATAAGATAATATATTTCACCTTGTGGGATATTTTATAAATTATAATTAGTAATAGATGCCTCTTATTTTTTAGTGGGTATTTAGTTGTATGTGTATATGCACACATGTACACACAAACATAAGCAGTGTGTTTTAAGTTGGAGAGTGCTATATCGTTAAGAATATATCCAACTAAATTTTGCTGTTTCCACTGGAACCTTCTATTTTTCATTAATGTCAATTCAAAGTCAGAGCCAACAGGGTTAAATATATCCTTGTCTGATATTAAGATGAAACCATTGTGTTACTAATATCTGGAAAACAAAATTGCCATCTCTGGAATGAAAAAGGGTTCTTGAAAAATGGATTGTCAACACCTAAACTTTATATTTGAAATAGCTTTGAGTTTATTGCTTTTAATCTTATGTTTTAAAGTATGCCAATTTAGTGGTTTAAAACGTGTATTAATAAGTACTAAAACAGCACACAACTGTGACTTAAATTGAATAATTTTTATTGTACAGACTGAGTAAAATGTTTTCTGTTTTTATTTTGTCTCCTCTCGACACTCTTTTTTACAGTGCACCTATGATATGTATTTTAGAGATAGCTGTTAAACTTTGGTTTGAATGAAGAATGTCTCTCAATCCACCTATATTTCTCAAACGAAGTGAAGAAAATAATTCAAAATGTGTGGAAACAAAACAGTCACAAACTACTTCCATAGCTTCAGAAGATCCCCTTAAAAACTTATGTTTAGCATCTCAGGAAGTTCTTCAAAAAGCTCAGCAAAGTGGGAGATCGAAATGTCTCAAATGTGGTAGTTCCAGAATGTTCTACTGCTATACATGTTATGTCCCAGTTGAAAATGTACCTATTGAACGGATTCCACTTGTGAAGGTTAGTAAGAAATTTAATTGTTTGAAATTAGGAAAATAGATTTTTAAAAGACATCTCATACATACCTACTCTAATTGATAAAGGAAGTGTATTTAGGGAAAATTTAGTCCTACAGACTACTAAACCTCTTTGTTTTTCTTGTCTCTGGGTCTAAAATGGTGCTTTTAATGAAACCAATTATTTTTTTATTAATAATTATAATTTCTTTACAATATAAGAAAAAATGTGTGATATAAACATATGAATACTAAAAAAAAGTTTATAGACACCCTAAAGGAGCTCCAAAAACTCAGGTCTTTGTACTGCTCCTTGAGAAAATACTATTCTAGTAGAACAACAGTCAGTTTTTACCTAGACTTTTATGACTTAGTCTTATCCTGTACATGCGGATGGAGCAGATTTCATTGACCAAAAGGAAAATAAAATTTAAAAACTAAGACTTATTCATTGGGCTGTGTTATCATTAGAGTGATTTTAAGCCCAATTTAAAAGGTCATTCAAATTGATTGCTAACATCCCAAACTTTAGGAATAAATCAATTAATGTATAAAATTTGACTACTGTTTATTAAGACTTAAGAGAGAGTAAACCCTACACATGGGCTCATTAGAACTTGCCAGTGGAAAAAAATAAATAAGTTGTAGCTTTATTTTTAAATATTTGTTGTGATGATTTTAAAGTTCATTTAAATTTGAAGTAAGAAAAGTACTTTAACACTCACATTTTATTTGAATTTCAATTTAGCCTATATCATCTTCACCAGTCCATGGTGTCCTCAGCATCTAAAATCACACATATAAGCTAATGGAAAGTTTCTTAGCCAAAAAAAAGGAAGTGGGAAATTTAATATAAGCTTCACAGTTTGCTCAGAACAACCAAGAACTTGAGAGTAATAATTATTTTCAAGTTTCCCATTATCTTACAGGAATGTTACATTTTTGAAGTATGGTTTTTGAAGTATATATAGAATTATTCTATCTTATAATTCTCTCATTATTTTGACTGCAGCATTGGATTCAAGAATTTAATATATGTTAAAACATTAGATTGTACACTTTAAATATGTGTAGTTTGAAACATAAAAAAAATAGTTTCGTCCTCCAGGGTAAAAGTGTGCCCAGGATAAATTCCTAGAATCCTATTTTTTTAGTGTGGAATGGGAACTTGAAGATTGTGGGAACTACCAAATAAAACAAAAGGTCATTTAAAAGCTGAAGTCAAGAACACATCTCCAGAGGGTTTCTTATATGTAGTAGGGGAGATGACTTGGCATTTTTTTCATAATCATGGCTGAATGCAGTACTTATATAAGCATTATAATGAGAGCTAAACCAAAAAAAGCTGAAGCGAAATAAGAAAAATGTAATTCAGAAATTCAAGATAATATTATTTTTGCATAGAGACATGTTAGTCGGTAACAACTAATGAAACTTTAAGGGAAATACTTGGGCAACAGTGTGTATAAGGAACAGCATTTCAACTTGAATTTTAGATATGAAGCTTTTTTGCTCAAACTTACATTTTCTTTTAAAATAGCATAAGAGGCCAGGTGCGGTGGCTCACTTTGTAATCTCAGCACTTTGGGAGGCCAAGGCAGGTGGATCACTTGAGATCAAGAGTTCAGCCTGGCCAACATGATGAAAAACCATCTCTACTAAAAAAAATACAACAATTAGCTGGGCATGGTGGCGAGCGCCTGTAATTCCAGCTACATGGGAGGCTGAGGCAGAATTGCTTAACTAGGAGACAGAAGTTGCAGTGAGCTGAGATTGTGCCACTGCACTCTAGCCTGGGTGGTGGAGTGAGACTCCATCTCAAAATAAATAAATAAAAATAAAATTAAGTAGGCAAACCTAGAGTTTATAGGAATTATAAAAATGTCCGTGGCACACATACTGAAATGCAATAACTTAAATGAAAATGACATTGGAGCTTTGCTGTGAGAGAAGATTCTATGTTAAATTAGTTGAAAATAATTGTCCTAATACATGATTAACAATTCCAAGGAAGAAATTTGAGTTTGCTTTGTAACAATCACCATTCTTAATATTCTGGTCTAGAAAAGTATAACTTTTAAACCATATACGTATGTATAGGAATTTATTGTGAGCTTCCTATTTAGCTTTAGAGACCCTTTTTATTAACATACAAATTAATGTTTATATTTGTTTTTTTATTTGTCCATTTTTTACCTTTAGCTTCCATTGAAGATTGACATCATTAAACATCCAAATGAAACAGATGGAAAAAGCACTGCTATACATGCAAAACTCTTAGCACCTGAATTTGTAAACATTTACACGTATCCTTGTATTCCAGAATATGAAGAAAAGGACCATGAAGTAGGCAACTTATTTTTTATAACTCTTCGCATTGGATATAAAAATGAATTTTAACCTCCATTGCCTTTCTGAACTTACTCAAACATAATTTAATATTTTTCTTCATAACCTATCATTATGCTCAGGTAGCATTAGACAATATACAGTATATTTCATTGATATCTTCAAAGATCACATGATTCTAGACTGCTATGCTTTTTGAGTCTCTGCATTTTATAGCTTTTCTGCCTTATGTCTTTAGGTTTTTACTCTTTGCCAATGTTAATGTGCCTGCTTTTACTTTTTCTCCTCTCCTCCTGTCTCTGCTACACAGTTGATCTAATTTGATGCAAACTGGGAAACCAGATTACAAATGTTGTTGGAATTTCTCTAAAAGAAGAAAACTGAGTTAGGATGTTCAGGAATCCTCCTAAATTAAGAGCTTTAGTGCATAGCCTTTATAACATTTCTCTTGGCTGCTGAGAGGCCTTCCTTGCTCATTTTTAGATTCTTAATTGGTTTTCACTTAGTTGCAATTGTCACATTGGTGAGATATTGTGGGTCTTCTTGCTGAAAAGCAATTTTGCAATATGTCTCAGAAAATTAGGCCTTGAGTACTGAAAGAAGCACGTAAACCCTTTTGGTCTCTTCGAGGCCATTTGTTGGTGTGGCTGATCTAGAAACAAAATTAAAAATTCATTCATTTATTTGTTCCAGGAAGAACTTGGTAAATTTTTACTTTCCTATTTATCTCTCTATATATGTATTTTTTTTGGTTGAGTTTATATAGAAAATTATGTTTCTAAATAATATTTAAGTTTTGGATATAGGAAACTGTTTCCTTCTCTGGTCAGCTAGAGTCCATTTGTGTTGATTAGACAGAATGTAGTGCTAGGTTCTGTAAGGAGATGTGATATGCTTAAAATCTAAGAAAATTCAGAAGCCCTGGACTTTGCTAACTGATTATAGGGGGAAATATAGACATGTATTATGAATATTTTTAAACTTTTACAACTTTGAAATTTATAAAATTCAAGTTTTTTGCTTTTTGACAGAGTCTTGCTCTGTTGTTCCCAAGTTGGAGTGCAGTGGCACGATCATAGCTCACTTCAGCTTTAAACTTCTGGGCCAAGCAGTCCACCTACCCCAACCTCCTGAGTAGCTGAGGCCACAGGCATGTGCCACTACTCCCAGCTAAGATTTTTATTCTTTATAGAGACTGCTCTCACTATGTTGTCTAGGCTGGTCTCGAACTCCTGGGGCTCAAATGATCCTTCCACCTTGGCCTCCCAAAGTGCTGGGATTACAGGCATGACCCACTGTGCCTGCCCACGATTTTTTGTTTTTAAATTTTATTTTATTATGATTTCATTTTTATCTTTTTATTTTAAGATTTTTTATGCTCATTGAAGAAAATTTGGGAAATAGAGAAATATATTTTATCAAGATAAAATTCCCTTGATTCTACCAACATTTATTCATTTAACAAATATTTACTTGGTGCCTGCATTGTAAAGAGCTGTTCAGACATTAGAGGCTCTAACAATATCAATCTCAATAAAAATATGCTGAAAGAAAAGAAGTATCATAATTCATAAAATTTTTCCTGGAAGGTTAGATTTTTTTCATTTTAATTTTTCACTGTAATAAATATACTTAGATATTGTGCATGTGTGTGTTTAGGATTATTTTATTATGTTCCCATAATGAAATCATTCAGCAAAAGGGTATGAATATTTTAAGACTCTTGTTTTAAATTGTCAAATTGCTTTCATGAGGAGTTAGGCTATTTAATGCTGACCTCAACCCACCATTTCTTCACCAGTATTCACTATGTCATTTGTTTTATCTTTGCTTATGATATAGATGAAAATGGCACTTAATCACTGAAGACTTTCAGTGGTTGTTTTACAAAGTATCGTGTACTTTGCTTTTTATCTTATTAAAAAATTATATAATTTAGTCTTCTTATTTCAAGTACAATTAACTTGGCCTCTGTCAGTGAATAACATATTTTGAAATAATACTTTTAATTAGTATATTATGATTATAAATTACTTGGAAAGAGCTAGAACTTTACCATACATATTAAAGAAGCATATGCAATAGAACCAACCTACTGCTTGTTTCTCAGATATTCAACATGCTTTTCTTAAAATTTTAAGTCAATCAAAATTTATATATTTTGAAGATTATAATAGCACACTGCTAACCCAGTTTTCTTTGTTTTAGGTTGCTCTCGTTTTTCCTGGACCTCAGTCTATCTCAATAAAAGATATTTCTTTTCATCTGCAAAAAAGGATTCAAAATAACATTAGAGGCAAGAATGATGACCCTGACAAGCCATCTTTTAAACGCAAAAGAGCTGAAGAACATGAGTTCTGTGATTTGAATGACAGCAAGTACAAAGGCACAACACTGAAAAAAATTGTATTTATAGATAGCACCTGGAACCAAACAAACAAAATAATCACTGATGAGCGACTTCAAGGTAAAAAAAAATGTTTTTTGGACTGCTCTTCCCTCAGACTTATTTTGAAAAACTAACTTACAGACAATATGAAAGAAGAGTTGGATTTAATACCTATACATTTTGCCACATTTACTTTACTTCTCTTTCTCTTTATTACATATGTGAGTATATATTTATATATTCTATATATTTTTTGTTTTTTTGGTTGACCAATTGGAAGTTGACCAATCACTTTGTAAAACTTCACCCTTAAATATTAAGTGTACATTTCTCTCTTTTTTTTTGAAACAGTCTCACTCTGTTGCCCAGGATGGAGTGAAATGGTATGATCTTGGCTTGCTGCAACCTCCTCCTCCTGGGTTCAAGCGTTCCTCCCACCTCAGCCTCTCAGGTAGCTGGCATTATAGGTGCCCGCCATCATGCCTGCCTAAATTTTGTATTTTTAGTAGAGACGGGGTTTCACCACATTGGCTAGTCTGGTCTCAAACTCCCCGCTTCAGGTTTTCCTTCTGCCTTAGCCTCCCAAAATGCTGGAATTACAGGCATGAGCCACGGCATCTGGCCTAAGTGTACATTATCTAAGAATAAGAATATTCCTCTATATTAATCAAGAAATGACTTCTCTCTTATAAGCACCCTAATGGTGAACACATTTACCAAGAAGTTATATCTTCTCATTGGTTTTTTGGTTTTTTGCCTTACAGTTTTTGTTTTGTTTTGTTTTGTTTTGTTTTGTTTTGAGATAGAGTCTTGCTCTGTCACCCAGGCTGGAGTGTAGTGGTCCAATCTTGGTTCACTGCAACCTCTGCCTCCTGGGTATAAGCAATTCTCCTGCCTCAGCCTCACTAGTAGCTGGGATTATAGGCACACACCGCCATGACCAACTTAAGTTTTTTGTATTTTTAGTAGAGACAGAGTTTCACCATATTGGCCATGGTGGTCCCAAACTCCTGACCTCAGGTGATCTGCCCTCCCCGGCCTCCCAAAGTGCTGGGATTATAGGCATGGGCCATGGTGCCTGGCCTGCCTTACAGTTTTTAAAAATAACTTTATTAAGGAATAATTAATATATAATAAACTACATATGTTTAGAGAGTAGAAAAGGTTTCTTATATGTATACAGCCATGAGACCATCACTACAAGTAAGAAAACGAACCTATCCATCATCCCCTGCCAAAATTTCCATCTGCCCTTTTATGATCTTTCACATCCTGCTTCCCTCACAGCACTGTCCAACCCCATCTCTAATCTATCAGTTATCTATATCTAATCATTATAAATTAGATGCATTTTCTGGAATATTACATAAATTGAATCATACTGCATGTATTCTTTTACTTTTTTCAGTTTGGCTTTCTCACACAAAATAAATCACTCGACACTCATTCTTGTTGTAGCATGTATCAATAGGTCATACACTTATTTACAACTAGTATTTTGTTGTATGGGTAAGCTACAATTAGTATTACCTATTTATCTGTTGATGGACATTTGTACTGGTTGTCTCTCATTTTCTGCTGTTTCAAATAAAGTTGTTATGATACTTGTGTTTAAAAAAAAAAAAAGTATGTTCTCCTGTATAATAGAGTACAATTATCACTCATAAGAAAATTAATGAAAATTCAATAATATCATCTAATATACTGTCCATATTCAAATTTCCCTAACTGACCCCAAAATACTTTTTGTAGCTTCCCTTCTATAGCGTTTAAACTTATCACAGTTTATTTGGTTATTATGTATATTTAGTCTCTTTTATTTAGAGCAGTCTTGTTTTTGTTTTTCATTACTTAGACTTTTGTGAAGAGTACAGGTCAATTGTCTGAATGTTTCATTGTGATTAGTTTCAGTCTAAATATGTTGGCTAGGACACTTACAGGTAAGGATAAATCCAGGGTTGTCTATGTCTAGTTTATATCTATTGTTTTGTTATACTTATTAATAGCATGTCATTTCACTCTCAGAAATGAACCTTTTAGCTGATAAATTGTATGGTTAACCAATTCATAGGTGAATTCATACTTTATTGTTGCACCAAATTAGGAGGCATATAATGCAAGTTGTTCTATTATTTGTGATGATTTTCATTACTTGATTAAAGTGGTGATTGCTAGATCTTTTATTAAGGTTTATTTTTTCTCTTTGTAAGTAGTAGTAATCTATGGGTGATGTTTTCAGACTATGGACTGTTTCCCAAAAACTTTTCACCAAGTAATTTTAGTATTCATTGATGATCCCTGCGTAAATTGAATAATTACATTGAGAATTGAAAAATGGCAAAATTTTAATTACATGATTTTTTCTACATTTGTTAGCCAGTATTCTTATGTAAAGAAGAGCTTTTCCTTTTTCCCCTGTTCTTTATTTCTCTCTCTTCCACGTATGCTCATCTTTTTTATGCAATCTTTTTGATGCTCGAGTTCTCTCAAATTTTGCCAGTGGAAACCTTTCAAGTACTTCATGGCATGGCCTCATTTGTCCTTTTGGTACAACAGACAAGTTCATTTGTACTTTTTTTCTGCCTCAAACCTGGAATCAATTGTTTTTCTAAGAAGCTATAGTTTCTTTTCATAGGAAATGGTATTAGAAACTAAGATCTGGTAAATTCATTACTATTGGAATGTCATTCTTTCAGTGGATAGAGCCAAGAAAAATACATAGTTATGCATCATGAGTTCACACAGATAGTTCTAATTCATATTTAACATTATGGATTTTTATTTATTTTAGAGTGAAAAGTTTGGTTCCTAATAACAGTCATTTAAAAGAGTTACTTTACTTGCCCATGTATGATTAGAAGGCAAGAAAGCTATTCAGTTGATATTAGGCAGTTGCCAAAACAGTTTTAAATTGGGAGAGCTTCTCTCAGGCTCGTGTTAAAAATGTGCATTATCTAGAGAGAACATTTTGACATTTTTTCGAGTATGGTGTTCATTAATACCAAGCTGAAGTGAGTGACAACACTAGATTTAACTAGCTTAATTTATATAGTTTATGCATCTGACATCTTCATACATGTTAGTAAGTTGCTTTGACAGTCGAATTGTGTGTTCTTTGTGTTGTATGTGTGTGGGAGAGAGTGAAGGGCAGGTACTATGGAGCATAAGATCTGAAAGAAATTTTGTTGCCAGTGTTTAATAGAAAGACAAACTCCTGAGCCCTAAGGCTGTGCTCTTTGAAAAAGAAAGGGAACACTGCCTGCCACATTCCCATGGATGTTTACAGCAGCAGGTTACTCGCCAGTTTGAAGATATTTCTGAGCAATTTTTCTTTATTGTTACCTTATATGGTAATTGAAAAGATCAAATTTAAAAAAACATAAGTAAAAACCCTTGACATAACTATAAAAGGAATTATGTGGTATTATTCAAAATCTCATTTCAGAGTGTTCACATTTGGCTTGCCTAAAATCAGATTTGTACAAAAGATTTTCATTATTCCTTCCCAATTCACATGGGAAGTAGCATATATTTTAGTTCTATGCCAGATCAAAAATTTTTAAAGAGGCTTCTTAATCTTTAAAATTATAAAAGAAACAGATTTCTAGAGGCAAGTTTTCTGCATAACCTACTTCAACCCCTGTCCTTTGTAGCTCCTTATTGCACCACAGGAAATAATTAGGGCTCTACACTTATTTATAACCTCTGTATATGTAAAATACTAATTTCTGAATAAACCAAGTTATTCCCATAAGAAGCAGTCCATGTTTGTTATAAATCGTTGGCTTTAGGCTTTAATACTTTTTGTCATTTCACGGGATTAAGCTGAACAAACTAAGCTAAACCTCAATTAAACCCTCAGGTGTATTGGAAATTATCTTTCCATTATCTTAGTATGAATGCCAAGGTTAAGAATCCCCTTAACAATGTACAACCATACTGTTTTGCCGAATTTTTACAGAGAAATAATTCTGTATGTTCTACCAATGTCAAAAGAAAGCACTTGAAGGTAGAGTGCCGAATTTAATCATAAAAGGTAAACCTAAACCTACAAGTGAAGAATTATGTAACATTCTTGAAGATTTACCATAGGAAGCCTTGGCAGAATGTAGAGGGAGACACTGTTCCTTTTTGTTGGGCTGGATTCCAAATTATTTAAACATCATTATACTGTAATTTGTTTTAAAAATTAACCAGCTCTTTCCCTTCATTTTGACTACATATTGATACAACTTTTAAAGTGATAACTTTGTTCACATTATAGGCATTGCCTAAACTACACTCACTGTGTCAGTGAGTACTGTGTCATATACTACCTTATTCAATTCTCACATCAAATGTATGAAGTAAAGGATGTCATCCTCACTTTGCAATTGCAGAAATTGAGGCAGCACTTTTGAAAGGAAAATCAATTTGTAATTATCTACTTTAAGTTTCTCCTGCTAAAATATTTTACTAGTTTGGAGCTAGGTGTAGTGGCTTATTCCTGTAATCCCAGCACTCCAGGAGATGAAGGCGGGATTATCACTTGAATGCAGAAGTTCTAGACCAGCCTAGACAACATAGCAAGACCCACATCTCAACAAAAAATAATTAGCCTGGGATGGTAGGGTGCACCTGTAGTCTCAGGTACTTGAGAGACTGAGGCAGGAGAATTGCTTGAGCCCAGGTGTTCAAGGATGCAGTGAGCTATGATCATGCCTCTACACTCCAGCCAGGGTAAGAGAGCAAAATCCCACCTCAAAAAAATGTTCACATTTTTACTATAATTTTATTATAAAGTTACTAATTGTTAGAAATACAAGGATATACACAATCTTTTTGCATTCAAGAAACTGAAATATTTATTGTGTTCTAGAATGCATACATATATTAGGCTGGTAGAAGAGACTGGAGAAATTCAAATTATAAATGTCTTATTTTATTCAGCATGTCTGGGAATTTGTTCTTTTATCCATAGGTGCTGTGGCATCATTAAAGAATTTTAAGCTTGTCATTGATATGATTAATTTGAATTTTAAGTCTAATGGAAAGAATTGGGCTGGGATGTGACTTCCAGCTCTAATTCTTTCACTAAATAAGCAAAGAGGTTTTGTTTGTTTGTTTTTAACCGTTTTATATTTTTTAATTGATACATACGAAAGAATACACACACATGCACTCACACACATATATATGTAACATTGTTATAAAACATATATAATGAATTATTAAGAACTCACGCATCAAGATAGTATTTCTAACTTCCTTTTATTCATGTTCTTCTCCCTTGTGCCATTCTTCTTCTTCCCCCGACAGTTAATTATTTTCCTGAATTATGCTTTTTTAAATTATAGTATTACATATATCTGTTTTCATAAACTATGTATTATTGAGTTTTGCTTTATTTTGACCTATATGTTGTTTTCTTGGGACTTGCTTTCTAAAGTCGTTTTTTGTTTCTCAGATTAATCTGTATTGTCATATGACGGTAGCTATATTTTATTCAGTTTCACTGCTGAATAATATCTGTGAGTATACTACAATTTATCTAGTTTCCTGCTAATGAAACACTTTGGCTATTTCTAGTTTTTACTATTATAAATAATGCTACTACTCACATTCTTGTGCAAGCATAAGCTCCTCTAGGAAACATACCTAGGAGTCACATTGCTGAGTTGTTGAGTATGAGAATATTCACCTTTACAAGATAATGCCAAATTGTTTTTCAAAGTGTATATACAAAGGAATATTTTCATCATTAGTGTATAAGAGCTCCAGTGATCCATAATCTCTCCTACCTTGGTATTATCAAATGTCTGATTTTTGCCAATCTAGTATGTATAAAATGGTGTCTCAATGTCATCTTCATTTACTTTTATCTAATTACTAATTGGATTGAGAATTACATTATTTGTTTATTTGGCCATATACATGTCCTATTCTGTGAAATATCTATGCCCATTTTTTTTAGTGTTTTATCTTAATTGATTTGTAGAAATTCTTTATATATTCTAGAATATAGATAATATTGTAAAATACCTTCTTGCAGTTCATGGTTCATCTGTTTAATCCTTTCTTTTGAGGAAAAAAATTCTTAGTGTGAAATTTATTAATATGTCTTTATCTTGTTTGAATATTTCTCTTCTCCAAGATACTATATGGCTAAGAATTTGCTTTCGATTTTTTGTATTTTCTGTGTAAGTAATGTCAATTGCATTTATTTTCATTTCTTATGCATCTAATTAATTTGTTGTTCTTTATTACTGTGTTAAATAAGACCTCTAATGCAATATTTAATTAAAGCCCTGTAGAGGTCATCCTTCTCGTGTTTCAATCTGATAATCTATGTCTTTTAAATAGCAACTTTAGTTTATTTACATTTGCTGTGAGTATTGATATAATTGGATCTACTTTCTGCCATCTTAATTTTTTATTTCTGTTTGTCCTTTTTTTATAACTTTTGTTTCTTTTGATTGAGTGAGGTTTTTTTCTTATTCCATTTTTATTCCTATTTCAGTTCTTTTAGAGAATTGCACACATCACCTAAAAAGTTCAAAGCCAAACAATGTTTAATGTCTCCTTTTTTACATTATGGACTTCATATGCTGAAGCTTCATTCAGCCTCTTCCTGGTATATATTGTTATTGTTAATATCATTATTTCTGTTCTGTTCTTTATTATGAGTCTAGTAATTAGATATTATTATTGTTTTTGTTTTATACCGGCAACAGTTATCTGGATTTGCATAGATGTTTACCAAGTGTGTTGGTAACTCAGTGTTATCCAATACGTCCTTTAGGAATTCCTTTAATTTGATCTCTTGTTGGCATATGTTCAGTTTTTATTTGTTTATTAATGTGTATCACTTTTTTCTTGATATGTTGTTCTGGTGGGTTCATGATTTTAGGTTGCCAGTTTTGTTTTTTGTTGTTTTTGTTTTTTCTTTTTCTTTTTGACACTTCAAAGATATTATTCTAGTGTCTTCAATATACTGTTGTGGCCAATGGGAAGTCTTTGGTCATTCTAATAACCTTTTCTTTGTATATGATCCATCCCTTCTCCATGGCTTCTTTTAATATCTTCTCTTTATCTTTGGTGTTTTGCGTTACATAACTATGTAATAGGTCTAGGCACTGATTTGCTTGTATTTATACTGCTTGAGACACATTATGTTTTATGTATTTGTGGCTTTGCATAGTTGAAAACAGTTTCTGGGAACGTCATAGGCATTATCTATTTAACTGCTCTCTCTCTCTGTCTTTCATTTTCTTTGTTCTCTCTTCCTCAAACTCCTATTAGTTATTTAATCCTCCATATCTCTTAATATCTTTGCATTTCTTTTATTATTTATTTCTTCTACATTTCTGGGGTAGCTTTTGAGAAAAAGTGAGATGTGACAGTGGGAAATCATTAATGACTTAGAAGTTCCAGTTGGTCATTGGGCTAATTTTGATGCTACCTTCTCTCTTTTATTTCTCAGTTTAAAATAAAATTTGCAAAAACAAACAAAAAGGGGGCAAATAAATATAGTATGAGTCCAATTACTGGCCAACAGAGCTAAAAGCATTCTGGATTTGTATGATGACAGCTTAGTTATAACAGATGAGAGTACTGTTCTGTGATTGCATTAATTATTCCCCTTTTAAATGTTCAAGAGCAAGGCATTCTACCTGACTCTGATATCGAGGCTCTTACATGTAACAGAGCTAAAACAAACAAAAGACACCATAGCTTTAGGATACTCTGTTCATAAAGATAGTATGAAAGTGATAATCAAGAAGTAAAGTTTAACCAGTATTAGGGACCATTAAGCTGCCTATCTCTCTCAGTTAATGATATTTAAAGGTCAGTTTAGGCTAGGCACTATAGCTCACACCTATAATCCCAACACTTTGAGAGGCCAAGGCAGGAGTATCATTTGAGCCCAGGATTTTGAGAACAGTCCTTTGTTAAAGACACTATCTTTAACGAAAATAAAAATACAAAATCTTAGCTGGATATGGTGCAGATGTAGTCCCAGCTACTTGGGAGGCTGAGACAGGAGGATCACTTGAGTCCAGAAGTTTGAAGGTAACCATGAGCTGTGATCACGCTGCTGTGATCTAGCCTGGGTGACAGAGCAAGACCCCATCTCTAAACAAACAAAAATATTAGTTTGTCAAGGAAATGAAACCCTTCTGAAAATTGGTGAATGTAGTCCTGTCAGAGATTCAGATTTTTAAAGATGCTGGTACATAGAGGATTAGAAGACATGAATATCTTAAATGTTAACTACTTTTAATTCATTGGTCTCAGTGTTAACTGTCATGTATAAGATTTTATTCTTTGTTTTATATTGCTTCTGTATATACCTTAAGGTGTTTAAGAAAATGTCTTGTTTCAAGCTGGTTTTGAAAGAAGTTATCTGTAGTCTTTAAAAAAAATTGTTAGAATAATTAAAAGAAATCATTATTATTGTACCAGGCCTGTGATTAAGAAGAAATATTTATATTTTTTCTTTCTTTCTTTCTCTCTTTTTGACAGGGTTGTTACAAGTTGAGTTGAAAACCAGAAAAACTTGCTTTTGGCGCCATCAAAAAGGAAAGCCAGATACTTTCCTTTCTACAATTGAAGCCATTTACTACTTTCTGGTAGACTACCATACTGATATATTAAAAGAGAAATACAGAGGGCAATATGACAATCTTTTATTTTTCTATTCTTTTATGTACCAGTTGATAAAGAATGCCAAATGCTCTGGAGATAAGGAGACAGGAAAACTTATACATTAGTTTTTAACAAGCCACTTATGTCCTTTTATTTTGCTAACATTAATAAACGTATATTTCTGCTTTGTTTTTTCTTAAGAAATAATTATATATAATGCCTGTAAGACCATTTGAAAAAATTCGAGTCTCTCATATATTACGTTATATTTCTTAAAAGGAAGGAAATTGTATCCAGGGGAGTTTTTCAGAGATACTGTTGATTGAAAAACTTATTTCAGAAGTTATTTGCTCAGTGAAACCTCAGTTTCATTACTACATTTTAATATAGTGTGTTTTGTCTCTGTTAGATATAACGTATTCAATTGGACCTAATTAGCTCTTTATTTCAACATCTTTATATCTTTTCACCTGTACTCATGACCACCTTTAGAGGTAAATGGGGTTACAATCTACTGGCTGAAAAATAGGTCATAAGTGATTTTTCTTGAAGTTAGTAGCAAACATAGGCAGAACTAGAATTAGAGTTCCAATATCTAGGGCTGTTTCTTTAACTCCTAAGGTTGTTAAAAACAGAGACTCTGGAGCTAGATTGCCTGAATTTAAATCTCAGCCTTTCTACTTATCAGCCATGTCAGTTTCTTGCATTTGTTCAAAGCAGGCAATACTGAGCAGCTACCTTATAGGATTAACTGGGAATTAACTGAGTTAATATCTAAGGGGCTTTCAGCAGTACCTGAAATATAATAAGTGTTATATATATGTTTGCTCTTTCTATTTTATTTGGAATTGTGAACTAATAATAATTGAAGGCTGGCTGCTAGTGGCCATCTCTGCTGCCAGGTGAAAAGAGCCTGCCTTAGAATGAAGTTGGCAATGGAAAGCAGAGTGGAGAAGGAAAAAGAGAGACTGAGTCCTGATGGCATCATTTACTCACCTAGACCTAGCTGCTTGTGAATAGAGCCCTACTGTGCTGAGTAGCTTCTGTCTACTCTTTTCTATTCTGCTCTCTGCACTGTGAGGTAGGTTCCCTTGCTCTCTTGCTTTTGGTTGGGTTCAAGAAAATGGGAAGTATCAGTGGGAGATTAGATGTAGAGGAAAATGAAATCATGTACTTTATTTCCCTAGCTCCTTTCCTGCCCTATCATAGTCAGTTGGCTTATAAGGAATCCTATCCCTTCTGTTCCCAAGCAGTTATCCCAGTTAGCTCACTAGGTTTAGTTCGGCTCCGTCACTTTACCCCTTTTCACTTAGGACTGGTAATAACTTAGAGTTATTAATAGCCCCAGGGTAGTTCACAACCACTTGTTGCTTTCCCTAGACCCTGCTCGGACATTTGTAAATACTGCCCTTTTTTTATTATACTCTTCTCAAATGTTCCCATTTTAAGTTGCCTTCTATTTCATTTTGGTACTCTGATAAATTCACCTGTTTGTGTGAAATAATTAGCACATTTCCTGAAGTATATACAGTGGGACACATCATGCTTTATGGGGGAAAATAGTTCTTGATGAAATTAGTTTGCTGTACATTAGTTTGTTTCCCTCCTAGGGATTCAGAAGGCAAACCATGTTAAAGGTTCTGGAAAGTCCTGAAATAAACATTTTGAATTTTATTTAAGCTGATAGATCTTAAACTTACTTGAAGGTGTAGCACCTATTAACATTCCTTGGAAATAGAACATTTGGAATATTGTAATTAAGAGTAATTCCTATTAATATACATGTGGTAACTCAGAATTAAAGAGGTAAGTAAATTGTTGATAGATCATGCTCCTAGTTAGTAGCAGAGCCTGTTCTAGAATCTGGAACTTCTGATTTGGTTTGGTTCTGTAAGGTCACCATTATATTATGCTATTCATAAAAAGGACTGTGGATTATATAAGGTTTGAACATGATTAGTCTTAGCCAAATAAATCAACTGGCTTGCTTATTTAGCAGTTATTTTACAAGAATGGAATTAAAATCGTTTTTTAGTTGTTGCTATTGTTTTTTATGTTTAGAACTTGGCCCTGAGAATAGAGGAAGGCTTGAATTGATTTAAGCAGGGCCAAAGTTGGATTTCTCTGGGCTATATTTGGACTTCCCTGAGCCAAAATCTATTGCATTTAACTGGCTTTACAAACCAACTAAATGTAACAGTTCAGAGGGAAAAGAAAAAAAAAAGTGAGAGACAGAATAATTCTATCACTCATTTGCCCCCATCTTTCAGCTGGCACAAGAAAGATGACCCATGTAGTTCATAAGAGCCTAATTTACGGCTAAGGCTAGATAAAATCTCAGGTTCTTTTCAAAAGAAGATAATAATGCCTCTTAGAACAATGAACTGACTATACTTGTCTTGTTTTTTTTTTTTTTTTTTTTTTTGGTGTGATAGATTTAATAATGGCCCTAATTCTTTATTCTTCCCTGTAATCATGGTCATTTTTCAGGTTCCTTTGAATAACTCCCCCCACTGTGATTCTGAGTCATAGACATCCAGAGATTTAGTGCATTTTTATTTACTCTCTGTTTCTGCTGTTGACATAGCATATGCTTGGCTGAGTTAGCATGCTGGAAGATGAGACATCCATGGAGCAGAGCAAGGTTTCCCCGGTCACCCTCACTGAATCCTGTCTAGATTGGCTGATGGCCAACCAAACCCAAGATTGGAGGATTCCAGCCAAGATCAGCTGAGTCATCTAACTGACACCTACCTGATTCCAAATATATGAGCAAGGAACGTCTATTATGCCACCAAAGTTTATAGCTATTTATTGTGGCATTATTGTGGCTATAGAGATCTCATTTTTGGATGCATGATCAGATACAGCTTCTTCAAGTACCTTAGAAGATTCTCAGTTTTGTGTTTCTTGGGCTTTTGACCACTTGCTTTGCCTTAGGTATCATCTCACACAGTAACAGATGACCAGCAGGCTTGTATGATTCCTCTGCTTGAGATCAACTAGCCATATGTTCAGAATCTCTGGCTTATACCAACACTTCTGGACTTTAATAACTCCATGCCACAATGACTTAAAAGGGCTAGGTGATGTACTCTGGTAGGTTTGTGAAGTTAACTGTCTGAAAATTTCAAAGGACTAGAAGAACTATGGACTACAGTGCACTAGAAGAAGTGCCAGATAAATTGCTCTTCTTCTGATGGACTGTATAGAGACACTGTTTTTCATCCTGCCTGTCCAGAAGAGTACTATGTGGCTATGCAAGTATACTTGTCACATGACTGGTAGTGTCCCTTCATGGCTTTTCATGAAACAGCAGCAAGTGCTATACAGTAATTTGGCAGTTGGAATTTGCTTCCCATTATTGCTAGCTTCACTTCCTTTCTTCCTCACTCTTACCAGCCTGGATTGTACCTTTAATAAAGTAGTAGATATATTTTCTTTAGGCTCTCTTCTAGGGAAGTCAGATGTTTTAGTCTGGGTTTATTTAGAAAAGCAGCAATGTTACAAATGTTACATGAATAAAGAAGTTTAATAAAGAAATTAAGGTTTACCCCAATATGGGAATTACTGGGGTAATAAAGGTCTGGAAGGCTACAGTAGAAGAGATTTAGAGAAGTAGTGACTAACTAGGTCAGCCCGAGATTCTCAAAGTGCTCATGACTTCATTTGTAGAAACATGTATATCTTAAGCATATCAAGGTCCTCGTTCCTCTGATCTTTCTAGGAGCCCTTTGGTTCATCCTGAAAGTCCCCCTAAATCCCTTCAGAAGTCTTCAAAAGGGTAAATGGCTACACCTTTTATTTGATCTTTTCTTTGAGTCCATATTAATGACAGCTCCTTGGTTTGGTCTTTGTATTAGGCTGTGTTTGATTATCCCATTTTATTTGATAAGAAACAATTTTATTTTCTAGTTCTGCATATCCTAGGTTATATATTTCACTTCAGTTCCACTTGCCTTAATTTTGAGCTTTTCTGTTTCTTATGTTTCTTATTTTGAAAAAATAAACTGACTGTTATTAAGTATAATAGGTAAGGTACCTAAGAGCCTCAAAATACTACCAAATGCCATGAATGCATTAGGTATACTTTTTTGTCTTCCATGTTACCGGAAGCATTAATTAGAGCAAATTTTTATCTCCAAATACTGACAGTTAAAAGACCCTAGTGAGGCCGGGCACAGTGATTCATGCCTGTAATCCCAGTACTTTGAGAGGCTGACGTGGGCAGATCACGAGATCAGGAGTGCAAGACCAGACTGGCCAACATGATGAAACCCCATCTCTGCAAAAAAAAAAAAAAAAAATATATATATATATATACACAAAAATTAGCTGAGCATGGTGGCTCGTGCCTGTCATCCCAGATACTTGGGAGGCCAAGGTAGGAGAATTGCTTGAACTGGGACTGGGAGGCGGAGGTTGCAGTGAGCCGAGATTGTGCCACTACACTCCAGCTTGGGCTACAGAGTGAGACTCTTTCTCAAAAAAAAAACAAAAGACCCTAATGAAAAGTTTAGCCAAACACATACTGACCCTACATTGAAAGCCACCAGCCAAAAATCACCACCCATATATAAGAGCCAGACATCACTTGACACTTGGTGAATCCTTCAAATAAAAAAGGGGAAAAGGAAGGGAGAAAATCCAAAGGAAATAGAGAAGAATAATGGCAACGAAAAACAACTATCTTCAAAATAAGAGAGAGTATATTGTATTCACAAAACAAGAATAGGAGAGTGTGAAAAAGAACAAACAATAAAAAAAGAGATCCCAGAAATTTTTAAATAATTGCTGAAATAAAAATTAAATATATGGTATAAATAAAAATTTAAAAAAAAACTTGGTGTTAAGGTTTTACTCTGAGTGATGAGATAGGAAGCCATCAGAGGATTTAAGCAAAGGAGTGACAAGATTTGACTTATATTTTTAAAGGATTATTTTGGCTTCTTTGTGAAAAATAGACTGCAAGAGAGTAAGAAAATAAGATCAATTGCAATGCTATTTCGTAGTCCATTTGAGAGAAAATATTTTCCTGGACGGGGGTTGTGATCATGGGAGAGTGATACAGAATGCCAGGATCCTGCATGTATTTTGAAGGTAGAGCCAGTATTTGCAAATAGGTTAGATACTGTGGTAGACATGAAAATGTGCTGCCTAGATCCCCCTTCCAGGAAGAACTTGCTTATTAGCTGCAGGGAGTGTGGAAAACAGAAATCCTCCAGCTATCAGCACTTCATCTGCAACAACTATAAAGAAAACTTCACCTGAGGTGACTCTCGCCCTAGATCTCAGAGCTGAGCTTAGTGGAGATGGAAGATCTTGCTGTTTCAGCCTCATTTATGACACTGTCAGGCAAAACCTGCCCCAGAGCTCCCTCTATTGCAACTTGATTTCTTCTTCTGCCCAATCCTGCTTTCTCCCCTTCCCCTGCCAGGTGACACTTTCTAATAAACATCTTACACCCCATGTAAGAGAAATTACTCAGCTTTTCTCTTTAGAGGACTCAACCTGTGGTAGTTGTTAGCAGGAGTTATCTGAGCTGCCATTGAGGATCCCATCACGTGTGGCACACAGAACAAATAAAACCCATGGCTCAAAGTGGTAACTTTTATTAGTGGTAAAATGAGATTTAGCCATGGAAGAGAATGTGCCAGTGAGTGCAAAGATCAGGTATTTGAGACGCATGAAGGAAATAGTACATTTAAGAATAACAGAATTGAATGACCAAGTGCCACTAATGTTCTATAGAAAGAGAGCTTCTTTGATTGCATATAAAGCCCATCTAGGATTTAATAGTCCAAGTAGCCAAACTAGTATTTGCCCTTAAGAACAAATACTGGAAGATCAAGCACAGCATGTGAATGGACATACTTGTGTCAGGTATGTGCATGAACTGTAAAGGTCTCTGTATCAACATGCAGTGCTCACCAGAGAGCATTCAGGGTTGAAGAATCACTAAACAATAAAGCAAACTAAACACTTTGTTTAGTTGACATCATCCATCCTGCTTCAGTTATTGACCACCAAGTGCTGGCACAGTGGGCACATGAATGGAGTGTCCACTGAGGAAGGGATGAAGACCAAGCATAGGTTCAGTAACTTGAGTTTCAACTTACCAAGGGTGCCATAGCTCCTGCTGCTGCTGAATGTCCAACCTACCAGGAACAGAGACAATTCTGCATCCCTGATACAGTACCATTCTTCATGATCAAGCTGGTTACATTGGGCCCCTTCATCCTGAATGAACCAACATTTCCTGGTCATAGAAATAGACACAATTTCCAGATATGAGTTTGCTTTTCCTGTTTGCAGAGCCTCAGCCAGTATCACCATTTGAGTTTACTTAGTATTATACTCATCAGCATGCGATCTCACATTATATCACATGTGATCAGAAACCTATTTTATGGAAAAGCAAGTGCAGGAGTGGACCCATATCCACAGGATCCACTAATAATATCACTTTTTTCACCAGCCGGAATCTGTCAGTCTTATAGAACATTGTTACAGCCTGCTGAAGGTACAGCTGAACACCAGTTCATAGGCAATATGCCACAGGGATAGGATGCTGTACTCCAAGATACAGAATATAATTGGATCAATTATCCTTATAGCATGTGCCTCAATATAAACAAGAGATGGATATTGGAAGCTATTTATTCCTAAAAGTAGGTGCAAAGAGGGTGGAAGAAGAGGTTCCTACCCTCCTTACCATCACCTTTAATGGCCCATATGGTACTTTGCACTTCTTCATAACTAGGAACTCTGCAGTGAGAGGTCTTGGTCCCCCAAGGGGACATACTTTTGCCAGGAGATACATCAAAAATCTCACTGAAAAACATAAGCTGCAGCAGCTACCTGGATACTCTAGGTCCCTTGTGTCCAGGGAACAGCAGCTAATAAAAGGAGTCAAGATCACTTGACCCTAATCAACAGGAGGTTGGAATCCTGGTTACACAACATGGGTGGAAGTATTAAGTGTGGTGCCCACGTGATAAACCTAACAAACTGAAACTGTAATGTGTAGGTGTGGCAACCCACCTTCGAAAGGACATGATGGCCTGGAACTCAGGCCTCTCAAGGAATGTGGGTCTGATAAACCACCAGGAGCAGCAGAGGTGGTAGCACAGACTGACAGAAATCTAGAATTGATAGTGGAGGTTGAGAGGATGTGACAACTATTGATGGCATTCCTGAGCCTGACTGAAGCAGCAGGCACTGTAGTTTGGTCTGTCTACTTCCATCTTCTATTGCATTCCCAAACCCCACTGCAGCAGCAAGCACTGTAATTTGTCCCACTAATCTCCATCTTCTAGATTTCCTGGGGGGTCAGGAAAAGAGGTCCCTTAAATTCTTTAGGAGCTGTTCCCTAAATATACAGGGAGACATAGATCTATGTGGAGCAAAGGGTAGATTGTAATCAGCAAAGAGATATGGTGCCCAATTCACTTTCAAGAAAGGACTAACTGCCTAGTTCCAAGGAATAAGGTCAGCAGCCTCCACCTGTCAACTCCCTCAGAGTCTGCTTCAACTGCTGAAGGACACTGTGCTTGAGATTATACCCTTCCCATGTCTGGTGACTGAAGTTCAGCTAAATATAGCTACCAAAGTTACCTTAATGAACACGGGAAGCAAAAAATCTAAGAGGTTAAACAGAGAATTGTGAGAAATAGCATGTCATTTTTGTTTCAGAATATATGACATTTTAGAGTAGCTTGTTATTCAGTAATAGGTAACAGAAAATGGTGTCAGGAGTGCAGTGTTATTACAACAAAAAGTTAAAACGTGTGATACTGGCTTTAGAACATGTAGCAGGTGACAACTGAAAGAGTGGCAAAGAGATTGTGGAAGCTGGAAATAAGTGTGGTAAGCCTAATAATGTCTCCTTAATGGTGTCCACCTAAACCTGAGAACCTCTGAATATGAATACCTTACATGATAAAAATGACTTTGCATATGTCATTAAGTTAAAACACTTTGAAATGTAGAGATTATCCTATTTTATCTAAATAGGCTCAAAACAAACATTAGTCCTTACAAGTGAAAGATGGATATATAAGAGGATGTCAGAATGATGTGCAGTGAGAAGGACTCAACCTGTATTGGTGGTTTTACAGATGACTGAAAGGAACCACAAGCCCCAAGCAGCCTCTGGAAGCTGGGAAAAGCAAAGAAACAGATTCTCTCCAGAGTGTCCAGAAAGGAATGTGGTTCAGCTAACATCTTGATTTTAGATCAGTGAGATTTTTGTGTTGGACTTGTACAGAACTGTATAAGAATCAATTGTGTTGCTTAAGCACACTATAATACATATGGCAAGGAGCTGCCAGCTAAGCCTTGAAGAATAGTGAACAAACTTTTACTGGAGGATGGGAAAGCAGTAAATACATTATTGAATTATTGAAAGAAATGGAGGGTTGAGTTATGCATTAACAGAATGCTTGGCAATAATTTTGCCTGTCTTAATATGGAAAAGAAAATGAAACTTAATAGCTTGTTGATCTCTTGAGATTTCCAGGTGAATGTTGGAAGTACTGATTAACTTATTAC